CCATTAACAGACCATTTAAATTTGCTGACTTTTTACATTTAAATGCTGGGAACATTTAACAATGTGAATACACGACTCCTATTTTACATGATCACACATCAAAAAGTGTTGTTGTATTGTTAAATATATAAACATAGGAGTTAGAAAGTTATTATATTGCAGCTTACCTGCCCAGCGGAATCAGGAGGAACACAGCGCTGAAGCAGAAGTTTGGCTACATCTAGGCTTCCATACTTGGAGGCCACATGCAGAGGATTAAACCTTTTTGTAGAGAAACAACCGGAGAGGAGAAAAATAGGTTTCAAGACAGGGAATATGGGATATACACATGATTTGTCTGCACAAAATATAAGGAGGAAAAACACAGGCATTGTTAATGACAGTAACAGTGGCTCTGAGCCAGCATGAACAGTACCAGGATCCTGAAACTGAAGCAGCTACAGTACATGGAATGCAGACACCACTCAGTTTCTTTTTAACACCTGTGCTTTTCCTACCACCACGCGTCAAAAATGTCCTCTGTGGAAAAAGTCCACAACATGGCTTGCAATGGGTTGACAGAGTTGAAATGGCTGCCGGCCACTTCACATCCATAACAACAAGCCACATGCAGAGGATTAAACCTTTTTGTAGAGAAACAACCGGAGAGGAGAAAAATAGGTTTCAAGACAGGGAATATGGGATATACACATGATTTGTCCGCACAAAATATAAGGAAGAAGAAACTGTGACAGTACGGGATACTGGAGCACTTTGGAATTCTAATGAGTAAAAATTGTTAGGGTTTGCAAGGATTTAAGTGGAATGTGGGTCATGCAGGGTCCCTGACAGGCCTCCAGGACTTCTCCAGTTCCTCATATTGCCAAGGATGCTTTTAAATATGCTTTTGGCATCTTATCCATTTATTAAAGAAAAGACAGGAAATGTAAGGAGAAAAGGGTGGAGAGCAACATGCAGCAGAGGTTCCCTAAATAACCTAAATGTAAGGTTCAGAGTCTGCACCTTGAACCCCTCCACATGGTGCCATTTGTCAAACTATCTTAATGATTATTCTAATGTTGTATTGAAAGACAGACAATACAACTATATTTTCCTCTTAAGGGATGTGAAAAATCATCAGATATGATTCCCTGGGGCCTAATGAGTGCCTGTTCTGTTATTGACAAAAAACAAAGAACATCCAGTGGGCTGATGCAATGCAAGGTGACTTTAAACCAAATATATTAAATACATTCAATATGAAACTAATTTGACAATGAAGCCAGCAGAGGGTGCACATTAACTGTTTGAATAATGAACCACTCTGGGGGTGACGGAAAGCACGTGACCAGTGTGTGTATGACCCAACTCTGTTCATGAGGGAGCAGTCCTTTGTTTCTCCGCAACCACAGATTATATCTGATGTAATAGGTGTTTGCACGCAAACAAAAATAGAGCGAGAGCAGACTGGGGCATGGAATAAAATATTCAAAGTGTCATATATTGTGAGCATAACAAGGATAAGACTGTTAGGAACAAATGCCTGGATGGTGGTTGGAGTCTCACACTTGCATGGCAGCGTTCCCTAGGTTGGTTTCCAGAATGAAAGCTACATTTTTCTTCTCCAGAAAGAAACATTAAGAGAAGAAGAGAGGAGAAGCACTGAACACTGATAAATATTGAACCATTATATTATCTCACCCTTCATATTATACTGTATGACTAAACTGAAAGACTACTACATCCTGGACTCTATGCAACATGAAGATATTAACTGTTCAGGGTCATCCAGTAAACACCATCACACTGATGATGACAAATCATGTGACTGCCTTCAGGCTTCATGCACGATTCAGAAGAAAGCCGCAGCTTCACCGATCATTGATGAAAAGCGGGTCAAACAGACAGACGCCTGCAGATACAGCCATTCTGTAACCTCTCTATGTCAGGCTTCAGGAGCAGGCACCATGGGATCATAACGTAAGCCTGCACATACAGAAGGTTCTCTACACCTCTCCATCTGTACTTTAAGACATCTGTAAATAAGTCCATGTACCTGGTACTGCAAAATTCCCAAAACCGCTAAACTATATCAAATGCTCATGGAGATCATCAAATGTAAAATACATCATATGTTCCAGCTTATAATCTATAATTATTTACATGACAGCATTTGTCCTTAATGTAGGGGCATTGTGTCATTTCAAAAAGGCTGTACAATAGGTCTTTCAAGTTCAATGTCCTATTTAACCTTGCATGGTTCATTCTTACCATTGTTATATCATTTCCCTCCTTGATGTTTCTGCCTGTTACCATCACGTTTCCTAAATTCTTATGGCCTGAATAGAAACATCGCCCTGTTCTGTCACTGTTCCAGTTCTGCTGCCATGTAATGAGAACCTCACTTTTTATTATCCTTTCTGCTTCTACTTTGCTAAATGAGATTTTCGCTGTATTTTCCTGCTCGTCTGCCTTTTTAGTCAGAGAATCCAACATTACATTCCCCTTAATTCCCCTATGAGCATCACTAACACTTTTCTGTTCACCTTCTGGAATCTGAATATTGTTCCCCGATTAGCTCCAACTCACACACCACACTTTCACTACTACACATTATCATGTGGCCTTAAAGTGACATGCATTATGCGTGCGTGTGTGTGTGTGTGTGTGTGTGGAGCTGCCACATCCGTATATTCACCCTACGTCTTTAAGAGGACAGCTCTCCACATTCCTATGTGAGCAGAAACTACAGTCAGTAACCAGGAAGACACAGCTGCTGGGAAGATGATTTATAGCTTGTCTACATGTTCTGTTATATACAGAGCTCAGGCCAATCCAGCACATTATTGGATAAAATGAATCAGATTTGTATTGTATATTTTATCTAACAGCTGCATTGTTTTTGAAAGTAAGATTAATGGGGAATTTCAACACAAAATGAAGGAGCCTCAATACCAATTCTGCATTTTTGACAGAAAGTAAATAAAATAATACTACTAGTGACCAATAGCCTAAAGCAGAGGTCAACAATCAGGTTCAAAAATAGGAGCCACATAACTTTACAGGTACAACAGAGATATGTGTGTTTCCATTTTATTTTTGTGTATATTATATCTTTGAGAATAAAAAACTTTATAAAATTTGTTCTTTTCGTGTATCTGTGGTCAGAGGCTGTTTTTCTGTTAGCTAGTGACTGCTACCAGCAACAGTGGCCTGCTCCATGCATGGTTGTATAGAAATACTTTTCTTATTGTTGCCTTAGATCTTTTTTTGCCAGCAGGCCATGTCTGGTAAGGTGCTAACTATCTGTGTTTGAGAGATAAATAATGTAGACCTGTTATATTTTTGTTACAAGGTTGTTTATTAGGATTGATTTACACAAGGCTGTTAATTACATTGTTACCTGCAGTAGATTTGTTTGTTTCTTTCAAAGAAAGAAACTTTTGGTACGGTCCAGAGAGGAGCAGGTCTTTACATGCTGCCCTCATGCACTAAGTGTTTAATAACAACTTTATATCTCTTCTGTGTTGTGCAGATTTAGCAGGGCAGCATGCAGGCAAGACTTCATGGAGACATGTTTGGATGCATTTTCCTTTGTTTGGCCTCCCAGTTGGCACCATGCTGTGTCCGTTTCTGTAACAGTGTTTCCAATAAATATTGCCTCGAATCGTGCAGTTTTTTATTTCTCGCGCCTAAAGTCCCACACATAAATACTGTAGCAGTGCAATGGCATGTTTGAAACAAAAAGCAATATCTTTTACAATTGTAAAATCCAGTCAAATGCATAGCTCTTTATCTGTGGGTTCAGTGTTTCCACCATCATGGCCTTTCTATATTTACATAAAGTAATGATCTGACTTAGTGGCAGTTCTTTATGTTGAAGATCACATCAGTTACTTAGTGTCTACTGTCCCCTAGTGTATAATGTCTGTTGTTACTACTCGTGGTGGTCTGGCATCAAATTGCAGTCCATTGAAATATACTGTATTTGTGGTTTGGAACAAGTGTGCAGTCATGTACTTTTTTCATCTGTGCCGATTTCCAGTAGCTTTGCACCTATGAGTGATGTGCGTATAACTGTGCTTCAGCTGATGTTATTGTTTTTACTAATTTGTCAGAAGAGTTAATTGTCCTTTTTGTGGTAGCGACTTGTCTAAACTCACAAGAAAGACTGGAACAAAGTCAAAGACAAATCTGGCAACAAAGATGGTATATGTGGTTGATACTATATGCAGAGAAAAGCATGTTCAATCAGAAGAGTTAATTGTCCTTTTTGTGGTAGCGACTTGTCTAAACTCACAAGAAAGACTGGAACAAAGTCAAAGACAAATCTGGCAACAAAGCTGGTAAACCTGTGGTTGATACTATATGCAGTACAGAGAAAAGCATGTTCAGGAACAATATGAACCAGATGTAGGGATGAAATCTTGCTTTATAATGTTACATTAGTAATTTAGATTCAAAATGGCATGGCTGGTGTAAACGGTTTGGAATATCTATGACACATTTGATCAAAATAAGACAAAATTGTTTGTCTAATAAAATGAAAAGAGGGCCAAACTGGATCATGACAGATGAACAAATGTAGGCAACAGTCTAATAATAATGTATGAATGATTTAGTGGGGCAAACATCACCCAGTGGCACATGTGCTATATAGAGTCGTCCTTCTGGCTCTGGCCTTATGTTCTTTACAGTGAGTTCAGGCTCTTCAAGGAAAATATATGGCTGTAGAAATGTTGCAGAGCACTGGGACGATGATGTGCATAACATTTGTTGTAAGGTTTTCACAATATAAGGGCATTTAAAAAGAGGGGAATTCATAGAGTTTCACAGTGCTTGAAAACATTACAGTGTGTATCTGCAGGAGCAATCAATTTTGCATGAACACACTCCATTTTATCAAAGACAACCAGCTGTAGGAGAAACCAAACATATCTTTATCTTTATTATAAATGATTACACATAAAACAGTCACTGTCAAAAAACATAAAGATGAAAAATGCAATTTCACACTCACGCGTATATTTGCTTAATAAAGTATATGCTGTAGTACCATTAGGTCAACGGTTAGGTAGACTCTGAAATGCTTAACCCTGACCATATTTGTTATGGTAGCCCAGGGAGTGCCCAAAGTGCTCCATCTGTCCATCCATTATCTATACTGCTTATCCTATAGAGGGTCACAAAAGGCACAGCTGACACTGAGCAAGAATATTGTTACATAAACATGCATAGTTATTTCACTTCCTACTGTACATATGTCAGTGTTTAAACTGACATTAACAAAGCAGTACAGTAAAAATGTGTATTATTGAGCCAAGAATAAAATATTAAATCTGTTCAAAAAACACAAATTCTCAAAACTGTGCATTAAAAGGGAATAAACAAGCACCACTCTGACTGCCTACACATTTACAGTGAAAACACCAGCAAACAGAAAATTGCTATGTACACTGGTCTTCTGTACACAGACCACCCACACACACACACAAACACAAGCAGAGGCAGAGTGGAATCTGACAAATGTGAGTCACACACATTAGTATCCATTTAAACATCTAAAACCCTCCCACAAATCGTTTCAAATTCCACGCTGACAAAAAGCCCTTAAATAATGTAAATTCTATTAGAACCTCTTTTGTGTAAGACATGCAATGTGAAATCCACAGACTCAACTTTATCAGACAAATAATATACAGTAACACTAAAGAGACCGAGCATCCTCTAATAGATTGTTTGAAGAGGTGACCTCTGAGTTTCTTCGTACCTCACATCCAATTAAATGATCTCATACAAAAGATTTTTCCTGCTGCTTCCCTTCCCCTGCTGCCCCAGTTTGTGGGTTGTCCTTTGCACCTCCTCCAAAAATAGCGAGTGCTCTTCCCCCTGATGGAGAAGAGCCAACATGCAGCAGAGAGCCACCCAGCAGGAGCAACACGCTGGCTGCCCAGCCCAGGTACAGTGCCGGCCCCAGCTCTCTCTTCAGAGCTGCTGCAACATTTGGATCATAGAAGTCCCTGATGATAGCATAGGCAGTCCAAGAAATGGGTATCAAGTAGGCCAGGCCAGCCACAAGGAAGAGCACCCCTGATACCCTAGCAAGCCGCACCTTGGAGGCCTGGTTACCGTCGCCCATGCAGTGAGTACCCTTGGCCCCTGTCACCCCGAGTATGAGGGCCAGGAGGCACAGGAGCAGGGAGAGAACAGTGAGGCCCCGGGCAGCCTGGGCAGACGTAGGCAGGGCCAATGTGGAGTCGTAGGTCTTGCACTGGATCTGGCCTGTGGTCTGAGACAGGCAGTTCATCCACAGTCCCTCCCACAATACCTGGGCAATCACCAGCTCTCCACCCACAAAAGCAGACACACGCCACAGTGGAGCGGCGCACACCAACGCACCACTAATCCAACCCAGCACGGCCAACACCAGGCCGACCAGCTGAAGACCAGTTGATGCCATAATCACTGAAGAAACTTCTCTCTCAACGAAAACGCTCCTCGGGAAAACCTCAGTCCAGATCTTTTTTATTTTTCTCAGTAGAAGGTAACTGAGAGCTGAGCAGTTAGCCAATGAAAGCCAGGTTTTCCTTCACTAGTCATTCAATAAGGTGAGTTAATGACTCCTCTTCTTCTCTTTGGTATGTTTCCTTGTTCAAAACCTACAGAAGATATGACACAATTTCCAGCAACTTTACTGGCATTCTTTAAATGAACTCAGTTAATCATAAAGAAATTAATAGATCTGAGCCAGTGGCTTGACAGTTAACACACCTAAAGGTCAATACAACATAAAATTGTGCACTAAGAGTAAACAAAATAATAATAAGCCTGCTCTATCTGGACCTAGTGTTTTGGCTTAAGCAAAGCAAGTTACAACTCAATTCCACCTGTTCCAGAAAAACTTTATAAGCTCCATAAAACTTACTTTTCAGCCAGATGTTCACAGATGGCGTGTTAATGATCTTTGTTCCTGGATATGATGTGAGTAGTTGGTGTCTTTCTCTCTGTTATGACTGGCCACCTTGTGTCTCTGGAGCTCATACACATGGGTGTAGGAGGCCAGCAGTGTGTAATACTGCATACTAAACACACACACAGACACACACACACAGCTACTTATGTAAAAATGACAAGGAGCACAAGGAGACTTTGTTGCAGACATTGTTGATGCCATGTCGTCATTTGTTGGAGCTGGAAGCAAAGGATGAAGCCATTGAGGAGTAGGTGAAAGCTGATTGGAGCCTGATGCATGTGGGACAGCACAACACAACACAACCCCTGTGTGATGTTATCGTCTAGTGCAAAACTATAGAACTGGTCAAAGGAAAGTTCCTCTGAAATTACAACAGTTTTTAATGAAAAAATAGATAAACTATACTGACTATTTTAAAAAGCACTTGAGTGGACAGAATGAGGGGGAGTAAATTAGTTGCTGATGTTCTGAAACAACTGGCAGATGGACTTAAAGGGACCGCCGCCATTTCCTCCATTATTTGAGGCACTTGGGAAGTGTGCTCATGATTTGCTTTTTTTTTATTGCAGAAAGAGACATGTGGTTCGCTGCATGGTATGATGCCTGGCAATTAGTGATGCGTGATACCACTTATTTCTGATCTGATACCAAATAAATCCAAGTCTGGCTTCGTAGATACCAACATTTTCACAACCTTGACCAACTGTTACAAAACTATTTCCCTGTGGATTTTAAAGTTATTCTTATTGTCATGCATTTACAGAGCCATGGTTCGCATAGGACCATGACAGGTGAAAGGAAAAGTAGTTCCTATCAACTGGGTATTATTTAGACTGTCCTGGTGATAATGTAGTAACTTTCTACTGTGTCTCCCGTTGACAATATAATATACAATTTTCCAAAATTACAGCATTTAGATATTGAGCTTTGAATATAAAGATTGATCCTAGAAAAGGAAACGTTGGGATTGGAAATCTTGATTTTTCAGGATGAAGCTGCCCATCACTAATGGCAGAGTTAGGGACCAAAATGATTTAGGCTTTAATGCAGTGCAGGCTGACGAGTTAAACATTTGTGAGGTAGACTTTTCCACTCTGTGACATTCCCTTTTTTAATTTCTAACTGGGGTTCTCCTGTATGTTTCTGATTTACTTCTTTTTCTTTCTTTCTTTCTGCTAGTTTGCCTTTGTGAAAAAAAAAAACAGTATAGTTTCTCTGGGGAAAAATCTTTCTGGTCTAGACTGAAAACAGCATCTGATCCCATCTATTTGTTATTAAACAGTCCTTTGACTTCAGTTTTAAACAGTGCCAGACTGACAGCAACAGAATGTTAAGAGCTTTAGGAATGAGCCTGTCTTGTCAAGAATCAAATAAATTCATGTGTGATCCAGTGTTCACTCTCCTCTCAGTACAGTCTTATTGGACTTTGAGTCTTTGGGCACTCCCTGGGTTACCATAACAAACACAGCTTCAAATGAATGACAATGTTTCAGTGCTGCTGAATGTGTCAGTAGGAGCCTGTACTAACAAGGTCACAATATCAGTTTATGGTTCCAGTCTGTTTGTTATAGCAAAGTTCATCGGCTCATATTGTTGACTGATGATGCAAACTAGCCTTTGAGAGCATCTGCTAAAGCTGAAAGTAGGCTGTCTCTGTAAGCCAGTTTATTACTGTTTTAGTTCAGTGTCAACAGTTCTGTGAGAGTTTCGTTTCCCGTGAAACCAACAGAGAAGGGGTCGAATTTCACTTTTCTGGAAACCACTGTGGTGGAGAGAGAAGGACGGGGGGAGGAGCCAGCTCACCTACATAGTGTGCTCTGGAAGGTTAGAAAAAGCACAGACAGATTTTCTGATTCAAAGTCAGGTTTACCAGTATCTTCTCACTACAAGATGAATTCAAGCTTAAATGAAAGTGAGTACCTTAGTGCATGCATACAGTATGTGTAGGCTTTTTTAAGCTCCTTTTTAGAGCTGATCCAAAACACAAAGAGATTCAAATGACCTGTTTCACTGCTTCTCCACAGACTACAGCCCTCCAGTTGTCAGTGACCTGAGAATTGTTCTTCTGGGCAAAACTGGATCAGGAAAAAGTGCAACAGGGAACACCATCCTGGGATGGAAGGCTTTTGAAGCAAGCATTTCTCCATCATCTGTGACAAAGGCAAGTAAAAAAGAAACAGGCCACTTTGATGAAAGAACAGTGACCATTGTGGACACCCCTGGTATCTTCGACACATCAATGAAGGAAGACCAGTTGAAAAAAGAAATAGACAAGTGTGTCATGTTGTCTGTCCCGGGACCCCATATATTCCTGCTTGTGATCAGACTGGACGCACGCTTCACAGAAGAGGAGAAGAACTCTGTCAAATGGATCGGGGACAACTTTGGTAAAGAAGCCTCCGGGTTTACAGTAGTGCTTTTCACTAGGGGTGATGAGCTGAAGGAAATGTCCATTAAGGACTATTTAGACAAAAGTCCTGACCTCAAGGAGCTCATCAATACCTGTAGAGATTACATGGTGTTTGACAACACATGCAAGAAAGATCGCACTCAGGTGGTTGATCTCTTTGAAAAGATAGACAAAATAGTGGATTCAAACCAGAGTCATTACACCAGCAGCATATATGAAGAGGCTCAGAGAAAGATACATAATGATGAATGGTTGTGCAAATGGGGACACAGGCTGGACTATGCAGGTAATTTAATAATGGTGGCAGCAGCTGGAGCTACTCCTGCTGGAGCTGTAGCAAGAGTAGCAATGCTTGCAGGTGGAGGGGTTACTAAAGTCACTGGACGATGGCTGAAACCTAAAACACAGGACAGTTAAGTCATGTGAAGCCATGACCCTTTAAATAAATCTGTGAAGTCATCCTCGGAGATCCCTACGGTCGTCAGGCCACCTCGCCCTTGTTGTCCCTTCTTCTCCTTATAAGAAATGGGGAGGTCAGGCCTTTGCCGTGCATGGCCCGGTATTGTGGAACGCTCTGCCCTTGGATTTACACTCTATAACTGAACTGGTTCCGTTTAAGTCAGTTCGGAAAACATATCTTTTTAAACAAGCTTTTAATGCTTAACTTGTTTTATGTTTTTTTTAGGCTTTTATTTTTTAGTTTTTCTGAGTGATGTCAGACTGGACAGGAATTATGCTATAGTTCAATGAATGTATGTGCCTGTCATATGTTTACTTAGTTGACTCTGATTTTCTTTGATTGTATAGGCTCTAATTGCCTTGATGTAGCACTTAGTGCTCTCTGAGTTGGTAAGTGCTTTATAAATAAATTTTATTAATATATACACAGTTTTCATAGGTGAGTGCCAATTCATATTTGACTTTTTAGTAACAGTTTTATTGCATTCCTCATTTACATTACTCGCCATTCATGCATATTTACTCATGATGACTTATCATGACAAACTTATTAAATGTTGAAACTATATACTCTTGTCTTATCACTTTGTGTGGAGAATGCTATTGTAATGTTTCTGTTGGAATTGAAAGATGTAATAAAACAATATGACAAAAACCATTGTAACCAGTGGGTTGGCCACGCCTATACCGCCAGGTGATCAATTTGCTGGGTTGATTATGGATATGAATACCACCCCTAGATGAGCTGTTGCGATAAGCAATTCCTGTGCTGGTCGCCACTGTGATTGTTTTGAAGTGAATCTTCCTCCATTGATCTGTGTCCTGCTTTCCCTTTGAGGTATATCCAACGAACTGATCGGATTTGTTGCGATGTAAAGTGCTTAATCAGTTTGTTTCATTTGTAGATTGTTTGGGGGATTACCACATGCTCTCCAGGGGTGATAATTATTGTAAGCATGATCCTGCAGAAGTTGGCGTCCATCACACATATTGTGCTAGGGTGATGTGCAGCCAAGGAGTGATAGCCACTGTTGCTTTGTTTTGCCTGCTTTGCTTTGTTTTGCTTACTTTTGTTTCATGTGCTTTTATGTTAAGAAGTTTACTCAGCATTGTATTTCCTATTCATTGTATAGTACCCAAGTTATGAGCTGTATAAAAATGGTTTGAGGTGCAGGGAGGCATGACCCTCTTATGTTTGGTTTGGGTTTTGTATGGATTGATTGTTGTGATGTTTATTTATGGGTCTTTTCTAACCTGTAGACCATTTTTTTATTCCTGTTCTGCACTGTATTTTTTGAGTGGGGAGTAACTTCTTCTTAAGCATAGTATTTTAGCTTCTGGGGTTAGGCCTTTTTAAACATTGTTCCACTGTTAACTTATTTAGTGACTCAAATAAATCCTTATTTTTGTGGACAAACCCAACGTCTGTGTGCTTGCAGACTTATCTGTGTGTGGTAACCCAGTTCTTGTGGAGTCTGTACGAATTTGACCTCTTGAAACAGAAGGGATAATATTCTTTGAGTGCTACTAAAACTTATTAGTGTCTGGGTTGCATAGGCCTGTATATTGGCCCGGTCACACCATGTTTCAGTGTAATGGTTTGATGTTATGCCAAAATCCCAGTTAGGAAAGCATGAATTACCATAAAACCTGCAAGGCCACACACTGTTGCTTGAGATAAACCAAGTTAGGGTAAAGGCAACCTGATGCAGACACAGCCACAGTATAAGCTGAAAAACATACACATGGCAACTTTGGTTTACATGACATTATACAGCATCAAATGATAGGCCTAAATGTTATTAAGAAGAATAACATAAAACTAATTTTGTATTTTGTAAGGTCCCATCACTAAATCTTGACCACATACTGTACAACACAGCCATATTCACATACTATATAATTAATACATTTATCCAACTGCCTGTTTCACCGGATCTAAGCTGAAACTATAGATGTTTCAGGCTGTTTATTGATCTTCTCAGCTACAGTAATTCCATCCGTCCATCCATTAGCTGTACTGCTTATCCGGCAGTATCATGACTCTGGGCAAGAGGCGGGCTACACCCTGGAGGGTCGCCAGTCGCAACTTTTGAGTATTTTCCAAAATGTCAAACTCTTCTTTTAGGGACATAAACCTACTAACCTACCTACACAGTGCACTGAACTTGGTTAAATGTTTCAATGCAGTGAACACAACAAACAAAACTCCTTTTTATGTCCATTGTGTTGGGGTAGTAGCAGAAAATCAGAGTGGTTAAATGTCTGAACTCACATATGACTTTTGTGAGTAACTCTGATGTTTGACGTTGTGTATTTGACATATTTTGACTTACTGCATTCCCCAGAATCAGCTTTATTGGCCAGGTGTGATGGACACACGAGGAATTTGACTCTGGTACATCGGCTCTCAATGTGCAAACAGTAAACCAGCATAAGGCTGTGTAATATAACAAAATACACTACATCATACTACAGTGTGTAATGCAGTACAAAAGGTGAATGTGAAATATCACTAAAATGTTAAATACGTCCGGTTAAACTGTAGACTATAGTTAAGATATGGGCCCTAAAGTACAATATAAAGGCAACAAAAGTGAGCACACCTGTGACTTTTGCTTAAGGCTAACTGCATGAACAAGATTATAGAAGAACCCGTGAACATCCCAGCTCATCTTGGTTTTGGCCTGGGCTGTGTCTAATGCAACATGGCTCCCCATGGAAAGAGGATCATGGGCCAGTTCATAAAGATAGGAGAAGGTACAAGAGCATTGACAGGCTGCTGAGCATAAGCAGAGACACAGCTGCAGCAGTGGTTAGGATATGGAAAAGGAGCCATGCTATCACTGACAGAGGGGCAGTGGCTGTTCTTGAAATGACTCCAGCCTATTTACACAGCCTTGAACTGAAAAACAGACGGTCAATTGTTCTGACTCAGCACAAGGATGGTGTGTGGACACTGCTGTTTCAGTGACTGATCAGACAGTGAAGACACTGCACAAGGTCAACCTCTGTGGACAGCATCCAAGAAGAAAACCACTGCTTAACAATGTTGTAGGCATTCTTCTTTCATATTTTAGAGTTGCTAAGAATTTGCAAAAGAAACTCAGCATGATGAACTATCTCTGCGGGCATTGAGAACATAAAGTTTGGCCATGAATCCTGATCAGCCTCCATCAAACTTCTTGCTCTTACAATGAAACCGAACAAAGGCTCCACCCTCAAAAAGATATTTAAAAAAACATGTGCATACAAGTATCAGTCACAACTCTGTGACACCAAAACACTTGTCAGCAATAAAACTGACAAGAGGTTTGATGTAGAACTGTAGCTTTCCCGTCCACCACTGGCCCTAAAACATGAGACCAGGGGGTGTTTACCTTAATCATTCATCAAAGCAAACCTTTCATGTGACTCCTGTAAGTCCCACTTACTTTAATATAGTAATCTTACCACAAGCACTGATCCAATGATCTCTAACCCATAACAAAACAGCACAAACTGCAAACTTAGATTTTGAACAAAAAAGAAGAATCCTGGTGAATATTAACACTCTTGGCTCAGATAGAACCAAAATAAATGTGTCTGGATTGGATGGGATCCTGACGTGTTTGTCGTGGACCTGGTCGGGACAACCACAGTGACTGCACAGTGCCAACCATAAAACATAGAGGGTCGGTATGTGCTCATATGGGGCTGCATGAGAGGAAGATGTGACAGAATTTTCAAATATGACAATGATGGCAAGCACATTGCAAAAACCACACAAGAGTTTGTAAAGAAAAGAAAGGTAAAAAAAAAAAACTTGGCCAACAAGGGCAATGAAACCCTCTAGGAAAGAACAACTTGAACCATCCATGTTGAAGCATCTCTCCACAAATTTGTACGACACTGGTGTCATTCATGCCCAGGACAATCAAATCTGTTTTCAAAAATATTGGCAGTCCTACCACATTTTAAAAAATAAAAGAAGGGAATCTCAGTAATTGTTGCAGATGGAACTATAATTAATGAGTAAGCCATTTCTGTTTGTAATTACTGTATGTAATCTCATGTTTCTTTGGCTACAAACAAATAAAAATGTAATAAATGGACAGGATATACAAATATTAAACATTTTAATAAGAATGACCTGGAGTGTTCTAGAAATGGGATTCAGCTTCAGGATGTTCTGTCATACATTTCCTTACATGGCTCAGTGTGTGGATGATGCAGACTGGCCTACAGTTGTTAAGACCCTTCTTGGTGAAGTGATGGCATCATGGTGAGGGGAGGCTCTTAAAAATGTTTCCTTACTGTGATCAGTCGACAGATGTTTACCATTGTCTGTCATTTCCTTTAGGGAAGTGAGCTCCTAGTGTTACTAATAACAAAGCGAGGGAAGCAACACATCACAGTTTAAATAAAGAACAGTAATTAAACGCAACAAAGATTTTATTTCAGAAATATTTGAATAAGTTATGAATGTGTAAACTGTGCAATTTATTTACAAAATTTAAGAGCTAGCAAAGCATATCAGTATGTTCTAATATTATTTATTATTTATTAGGATTTAAACAGTTTTTCATAAGCCACACAGGACAGAAACAGACTCCAGCGAACAGGATTGCAGAAAGAATCATCGGTGCCAGCCTGTCCTCCATGGAGGACCTGTACACTTCACACCAAAAGGACACAGCTGTTTGAACTCCTCCCCCGGATGGCGCTACAGGTTGCTATACGCCAAAACAACCAAACACAAGGACAGTTTCTTCCCCCGGGCCATCACTCTGATAAACACTTAACCTGCGACTATATAACCCTCAGTGCAATACCTTGTAAATATACTTTTGTATATATCTATCTGAAAAACTGCATCCAAACTGTGTATATCTCTATATTTATAAGTACTTTATTTT